AGGCACCAGTAAACAACGACGCCAGGGATGAAAAGAGGCACCGGCACAAGCGACGAAACGAGGCACCTGTAAACGACAAGGCACAAGTCTTGAGTAAAGTCTACAAGAAAAAAAAAGATGTAAAAAAGGGTTGTATATAAGGTATGATCCGTGTAACTAGAGATTTGCCCGATCTTGATCAGAGGAGTGATCGGAGGCCGGACCCAGAAAATCTCACCTACATCCTGGATCTGTTGTAGCCAATAATAACTGAAGAATCATCCATTGCCATTGATCTCTAATTCACCACTTCCTCATGGTCTACCTATTTTTGTAGATACAATATTTGCTGCAATATCAATATTGATTATTTCTCAGATAATTACTTCGTTTCAAACTCTAAATCAAGACTATTTTATTGATTACTTATGTTAGTGATTATTTCACCAATTTAGGGTTTGAAATGAAATGATCAATATTTTGAATTCATAATATATTAAAGTAACTTGTTCACATTGCTAATTGACTGACAAAAATCTTCAAAATGATGAAATAAAATACGATATCAAAATTATATTTTTAAGGATTTAATTATGAATTATTATTCCTTATGCCACTGGTTAAAAATAACCACCCCTATTAAAATTTAGAGTTAGGGTGCAGCTTTAAGATAAATAGAAGTTTTTTATATAATATAGTTTTATATAATATAATATAGATTGTTCTGATCTTAGTTTTCATGAGGTTTTTAGGGAACCTAAACATTTTTACTTAGAATACCCAATTCTGTTTACTTAGTACATTATTGAGATATAGCATACTTGTTATCCTTAACCACTGACACAATTTTAATAGTAATTATTAGCTTTATTCTAGAGCTATCCTAAATTTATTTGTCCAAAATCCTAAAATATTACTTGCCAACTTTGCTAAACTTTGATTATCCGATCAATAATTCGGATGGCCGTGATATATTTATACACGAGCATCTGAATATTTTATTTTACTGCACAACTAGGATTTCGCGAGAATACGGTAATATAAAATTGCCTACAAGGCATAAAAATATGATATAATATAGGTAAAATAAAACTTTCAATATTTGTCTCTCATAAAAATAATTGAATGCAACATACAATCACAGGAGCATTATTTCGAAATTTGGCCTGAATTAAGCTTAATTTAGGCCAAATTCGAAATTATACCCCTGCACGTTATTTCGCGAAAATACGGTATACTAATTATTTTGACGAAATTATTAGTTTTGGATATCGAAATCCAATTTTGTTATTAAACAATTGAAAAATTAATTTAATATTTTCCAGTATTTAAAGTTTTTATATTTAGAGTTAGTTTTTGTGTTTATAAATAGTTATTTAATTCAAAGCTTTTATTGTATTAGAAATGTTTATAAAATAGTAAAGCTTTCATTGTATTAGATTATTCTATTTAGAATAGATAACAATCTTATTTAATAGCATTTAAAATAATATTAGCTTACCTTTATCATCTTTACACAATCTCAATTTTTATTATGATAACCAATATGCAGGGTTATGAATAGATAATAGACAAGCCAATAGACTCAATAGACAGCCTAATGGTCCAATGGTGTCTAATTAAGTCATTAGACAATAGACAAATTACTATATAATTTAAAACAATCTGATTGGTTAATTTTAGATATCATTATCTAAAAATCAATTAGCTTAAGACCAATAGACATCAGACTTATTAGACCAATAGACTATTAGACAATTAGACAATAATTTTTTCGATTAGACTATGTCTAGTCACATCCCTGCAATATATATGTATATATTATTCGTAGCAATTGGAGGATTTTAAAAATACCATATTTTCGCGTAATAATGCTCATGAGCATTATTTTAAATAATGGCCCGAATTAAGCTTAATTTGGGCTAAATTTTGAATTACACACCTGTGCGTTATTACGTGAAAATACAGTATTAATTTTTCTATTATTTTATTTATGGATATTTGTCTCTTATCGAGGGGTGAAAAAAACAAGAAAACTATGAAATACAGTCATGGGTATTCTGTCTCATCTGCTCTCATGCATATATACAATAGTGTAGAAATCGAAAGTATTGAGCCAAAAAAATGAAAGTACTAAAAACTGACTGGCTTGCTAAACTAAAAACTAAAAAACTAAATACTAAATACTAAATGCTCATGACACGAGGTAGGGTGAAAAAAACCAGATAATTTTTTCTGGAAAAAACCTTGTGTTTCCCCATGACTACTAAAAGTGACTGTCATCCGACAGGCCACGCTATGTAAAAAACATAAACAATTCCTCCCATGCCTGTCATCATGGCAGGGCGCTCAATATACAAAAACTCAAGAAGAAAACCCTCTAGTGACTGTTGTCTCGGCAGGTCACTTTTTTAAAAAACCCAAAAATACTTTATAACTGTCGTCTGACAGGCCATAAATAACAATAACTAAAACAGTAATCTTGAAGACTATCGAGTCACTATGTACTAGAGCCGGGTAGGGTGGGGTGAAAAAACCAGACAAAGTCAGGTTAGCAGAAAAAACAGAAAATGACTTTTCCTGGTACAAAACCCGTTCTCCCTAAATACTACAATTACTAATCGAATTACTACATCACTACGTCACTAAAAACTTATGGGAAAAAAATCATATGAAAGTCAATCATCAATAAATCAAAAAATCACAAAGAAACAATACCAATAGATCAACCAATACATCAATAATCAAAACAATACATCATACTGATTCGAGACAAAAAGCTGCTCCGATACTATCATATCGGGCAGCTAAATTTGTCTCTCATCGAGGGGTGAAAAAAACAAGAAAACTATAAAATACGGTCATGGGTCTTGCCGAGAATCGCTACTTATATAAGTTACTTTATCTATTGGTCAAAACCTATTAAACTTGACACTCCCATCTCGGCCGTACTAATAGCCCTCATATACAATTGTACTGCCTCTAACAACCACCTGCTGATTGATTGAATCTGCTCCATTGTCATGCCTCCTTGCATGGCTGCTGTGCGCTCCCAATTCTTAAACTATGAGCAGTATATCTTCCATGCAACCCTGCATTTTAGCAAAATGTTTAACTATCGCTGAAATGGCTATTACAGACAACTTTCCTTTTGTTTTTGACAAAAACAATGGCTCCTCCGCAGGAGTTCTAGGCCTTACCCTCAAATACAAGTTTAATAACTTTACCAGACAAAGCTTACTCTGCGTTTTTTCTAACGGAATAAACTTCCCTTTCTCCAACTGGTCCGTTTTGGACTTTGCAATTCTAAACCATAACTTTCCATCTCTTTCTAGTATGTCAGACTTTCTCAAATTACATAACTCTGCTGGTCTTCGTATCAACCTCAATCCCAAAGCTATTAAGGCTAAATCTTGTGCCCAAAATTCTACACTTATTCCCAGCGATAGACACTCAATGTAACATCTAATTACCACAACTGGCAATGGGTCCCTTGGCCAACTAGCTTCACTTCCTACTCTCGTTGCAACTCTTTTGCTTCCTTCCACTATTAAACGAACTGAGCCACCTTTCGTTGGGTCATCAAGGTTCCTCATTTTATGCTCTCTTGCTATTGCTGCCAAGCATATTAACATTTCCAACACTCTTTCTGAGGCCTCAAGCCACGCAAGAAAAGCCGCCAAAAGCTCCCTAGACGCAGGATACGGTGGAAAACCCACTCAGAGCGCAAATTTTTCAAAAACACCATGAGCCTTTTCTAAACGCTTTTTATACACCTCACTGACACTGGTCAAAATCAAAAATATCATCTCTATATTATCCATATATCTTCAAATAATCGGTCTAGGTGATATGAAGGCGATAGGCTGTCGGTTACAACCCAATTACGTAGGAATAAAAAAACCAATATACTGATGTTTTAAGGAATTATGTTATATATTGGGCTTAATGATAAAAAAATATGCAATAATCGGTAAGAAGATTTGTATAAAATATAAGGATAATATAGTAAGAATCGTCGAAGTTAAAAGAAAATATCTAAACATCTTCAAATAATCAGCCTTGGTGATTATGGGCCGATATGAATTAGAATTAATATGATTATAGAGCATTTTAAAATAATTTTCCAAAAACTTTAATTAATCGTCCAAGGTGATAGAAGGCCGATATGTTGGTGATGATAAAGTAATTAAATAGTGTATGCTAAAAGCTGATATTATAATGTTTTAAGAAATTATGTTACATATCAGCTTAATGAAAAAAAATCTTCCAATAATCAGTAAGAAATTTTGTATATTATTAAAATAATTAAAGGACAATTAAAGAATGTTTAGAGGTTTTTATAGTATGAAAAACCTCCACAACAAATGATAATTAAAATATTATTATAATATCGTCATAATATTTAAGGATGATATAATAGATATTTTAATGTAATATATAGCCAATATAATTAAAATATAATCATCGTTAGATATTTCATGTGATGATATATCATTGGCTTTTTGTAAATTTTAATTTTTGTTATCCGATATTTAACTGATTACATACATTATAGGATATCTTCTTTATTATTTTGGGTGATGTATCAGTTGATTAATTGATATAAAACAATATTATTATGATTTATTAAATCTTAAATAATCAGTTCACCAATGATTAATTGATATTAAACGATATAAGAAAGTATATTTAAATAGTTAAGGATAATTTGACTATTCTTATCATATCGGCCTAATGATATAATTATGATTTTATACTATATAATTAATCGACAGATATATTCTATAAGTTAATATTTAATATTTAGGCGATACTTTATTGTTTTATCTATCGTTAGCTGATATTAAAGTAATATTTTCTGATTATATTTATTTATTATTTATACTTACATATTAAACTAAAACAATTATATATATTTATCTCTTTTTTCTTGGCTTTTTCTTTGGCTTACTTTTATTACTCTTTATCACTTTTCTTTTCACTTGTCCCCTTCTTTTACTTTTACCAATTTTCTCTTCTTCACTTTTACTTTTACTTTTACTGTCACTATCACTATCACTATCACCAACATTTTCACCTTCTGATGCTCCCTGTTTTCTTGTTTTTATATGTAGTCTTGGTGGTTTGAAGGCAGATGCTGCAAATGATCGTCTGGAACTTGGTGGTTGTTTACCGGTAGATGATTCAGATAATCGTCTGGGACTTGAAGTTGGCAATATTACTACTAATTCTATCGATTCAGTTCTTGTTAATGTTGCTAGTACATCAGCAGTTGTTGATGCTGCTGGTATTGTTCTAGTGGTTTCTGCTAGTGTGGCTGCTGCTAGTGTGTTTGCTGCTAGTGTAGTTGCTACTGGTGTGGTTGCTGCTGGTGTGATTGCTGATACTGGTGTGGTTGCTAATATTGGAGTTATTGCTGCTGGTGTGGTTGTTGTTTTAGAAACATATCCTTCTTCACCCGGTCTCTTTCTTCGCATATATAATACTTCATCATCATCATACTTCTTTTTACTTCTTTTACGGCTTTCTTCACCACCACTTTTTCTCTCCCTAGAACTATGATGCTTTCTTTTTTTTTTTTTTTTTTCTTGGGTCTTCTTGCCCAGAAGAATAATCAGCGTCAAATTCAGATACTGGTATATTATATCTTCTTAGGGCTTCTTTGGATAATGCCCAAGATGGGCAATCCAGGGTGGTGCACTTTCATTATCCACAACTCCTTCCATATAGTGGCGCTCTATAATCATCTTATTTTTTGGCTGAAGCTGTTTCACAATTGGGTCTATATGCTTGTAAAACAGCCTCTTTAACTAAATTATTATTATTATTATTATTATTATTATTTTTTTTTTTTTAATATTTAAGATGAGACCTATATATTATAAATATAACATTCTTAATATTAATAATTGATTATACTTACATTCCGTCCTCGCCACCATTTGTCTTTACACACTAATTTTTTCTTCTTATTCCCTTCTTGTGATACTTCCTCATCTGTCATATATTCTTCAACCAAATGATATACATTTCCACCTTTACTCTTAGTCAACGTTTTCAAATCTTCTCTATTGTATCTCTTTATAATTTTACTACCTGATTTTAATAAAAACGGCACTGCGCTATGCCTTCTTCTTCTCTTCTAATTATTTCATAAAACATAAAAATAATTAAATTAAATAAATAAATAAAATAAATAAATAAAATTATTATTATTCTTATATCGTTTACCTTACTATTTCTATCCATTCGGGCCCTATTATAGTCTCTTAAACCAGAATTGGTATTTATCGCTATAGTGCACCTCTGCATCTTATAATGTTGCTTTAGTATCTTCTCAATAAAGCCCGAATATTGTTCATAACCCGACAATTTTTTGCTAATTGCCGGGATTAATTTTAGACGTATGTCCCTTGACTGATCTGACCAGGGCCTAAGGGGATTGGGTTTTTTTGCGAGGACAATTTGCCGCTCTCAATTAATACTTTAATTTCATCTTATATAAAAATAAAAAATAAAAAAATAAAAAATAAAAAAAATATATAAATAAAAAGATGCAAGAATAATAATATATACCCGAAGGTGGGACGATTGCTCCTTGGTTAGTGGATTTGGCACATTATCTGAGCTACTACTTGTACTGCAGTGCTTCTACTACTACTACTACTACTACTTCATCATTTGCTGCTTTTGCTTCTCCTACTGTTCTTACTTCTTCTACTACTATAGCTACTTCTACAGCTACGGCTACTTCTATAGCTGCTTTTTTACTACTTCTACATAATCGTTCCCTTTCTTCTTCTTCGCTACTAGTAGTGTCTGCACTACTAGAGCTAGAGCTAGAGCTAGTAGTGCTATACTTCTCACTTCTTTTTCTTTTACTCCTAAGGTCTAACTGGCTTTATTGCCAATATAGTGAACGAAGGGTTCAACGGTACTAGTTGGGTGGGTGTGCGGGCGAATCGGTCCTATGAAACCAAGGCGATAAATAGAAGAATTTAAGTGGAACATATCCAAAATAGTTTTATGTAAATAAACAATAAGTGCTTACCTGCATACATTTAAATTCTGTTATAAATATTTTACAGATTGAGTTTATGTAAATTTAAATAAAATTATGAAGTTTTGGCGCGGTTTTTATTCTATTAGGCAAAATTTAAAAGATATCACAGCAATCGCCTAATAGATTTGATGAAATATCGAATCATTAAAATAAAACATTAAAAAAAAAAATTTCATTGAATTCTATTAGGTTGCTGCTGAGATATCTTCGTTCAAAGTTTAGGTAGTTTTGATGCAGTTTAATTTTATTAAATGTTCGAAACTTTGAACGAAGATATCTCAGCAACCACCTAATAGAATCCAATGAGTTTTTTTTATTATTATTCAGCTAATTCGTATAATTGAAATAAAAAAAATTTTTATCTAATTCTATCAGGTGGTTGCTGAGATATCTTTGTTCAAAATTTAAAATAGCTTCGGCGCAGCTTCTATTTAGTTAGACGTTTAAAACTTTGAACGAAGATATCTCAGCAACCACCTAATAGAATCCAATGAGTTTTTTTTTATTATTATTCAGCTAATTCGTATAATTGAAATAAAAAAAATTTTTATCTAATTCTATCAGGTGGTTGCT